AAGGAGTAATGAAACATATTTAAGAAATGAAGTTTAAAAAATTAATTTAAATTTATTTGACATAGTAAAGTTTTAATCAGTATTTTTCTCAAAAATTGAAAAGTACAAAAAAAATGAATTTTAAGTTATAACTCATTTGAAAACATCAAAAAATTGAATAAAAGTTAAACATTTAAGATATTTTGGCATAAAAGGAAATAAATAGGGAAAAATAAATTTTATTTTGATGTAAGATAATAGTCTAAAAAATGTAAAATAAATAAAACAATACATTCTTGATACATACTAAATCAATACAATTAGTTCAAGAGTCATTTAAAAAGATTTATCTAGACTAAGTCCTACATATTGCATCTCTTATTCAGATAAGAGAGAACAATATATGGAATAAACAGAATATACATTAGAAAAATATCACAAGAAGGTAATAATACATCTATTAGTTTTCAATCCAATTTTTAAAAATTTATTTTTCAACTATTGTATGAATTACATTTCTCTTGTAAACACTCTTTAGTTTAAAACTATTTTAGAATACATTTTGGAATCAAACCACTTCTGAAACTGAGATTTGATAAATAATTAGCTCGGGGTAAACTATTCCTCAACATTGAATAAAAAAATGTTATGATACAATATAATAATATACAATATAACTCATAATACTTAAGAAATAGATTCAGTAAAATGAATATTTGAATATTTAATCAAAGGCTGTACTAATTCAGATTATTATAAAAAAGTTTTTTGTTACATTATCTTTCGTACCATATAAAAACAAATTAAATAAAATTTCCTTATTATATTAAATATTTGAATTTAAATATAAATTTTTTATAATGAAAGTAGATATAAATCAATTTAAATACAAATCAAGTCAACAAACTGGATTTCCAAACTCATATCGGATATGTGCAGTTATTGATTGATCAACAAAATATATTGATAAAATAATATTTTTGGGGCATTATATTCTCAGTTTTCAATATGTACATTAAAATAATGGTAATTATGTTATGAAAAGTTTAAAATAACAATCTTGAAACTACCTATGTCAATACTAATCACATATTTAGACATTGTTTTTCGTAAGGCCAATATTTTCTTGGTCTTAATAATTATTTTGATTTTTTTCTCAGCCGATAAAGGACATTAAAAGAAAAATTGAAAACAAACCTGAAAACTAACCACTATACGTCTATAACTATTCTTTAAAGATTAGAATATCATATGAGCAGAATAATGTTTCTTAATTTACAATTATAATAATCCACATTAATGGATAGTGCTTCTAATATTTTTTATTTTTTTTATGCTTTCTTTAAAATAATCTATATTATTTTACATTTACAATATTCTAAATTATTAGTTTATGAAAGGCATTATGAAAGGAATGAAGTGCATTTTAGTATATTGTCTCATTTATTAAAGAATTATAATTTTATCCTAAAACTTTTAATAATTGAAAAATATAAGTTTTAATCGCAAATATTTACATATGATACGTATTTACAAATCAATTATATGATTAATAATGTATTTAAACTGTAAACCATCTAGTTAGAAGAATACAACTTCAAGAATACCATGTCCTGAATGTTAAGGTCTCTGCTGGGATTCAAAATCATGACAAACTTTGTTATTTTTAGCTTTCTAAAGAATTTGTGCACTTTTAAATATAATACTGACCAACAAACAAAATATTTCTTGCCCAAAAATAGCTGGGATCAATATATTTTGCCTACTGAACACAAAATCATCATAATAAAATATAGTCAACTCCTATTTTTGAGGAGCAGCTATTCAGTGACTATTAAGTCACAATTTCTGGTTAACAGGAAATTCATTCCTGAATCATTATCTGGATTTCCTTGGATATTATTAGATTTATAATTATAAAAAAAGGTGAATGGCTAGCAATAACTTTTAGCCTGGTAAGAAATATGTCCAAAATGAGCCTTTGTCAGTACATCAATCCGATAACCTTCTTCTTCCTTTCTTATATATCAAGCTGGAATTGATGAATACTTTTGTTAAATTTGAAGGAAAAGTTTTCATGTACTTCAGAGGGAAATTCACAAAAAAAGAAGGAATCTTCATTGGACTCCTAATTTGTTAAATTTTTAAAGGTGTTTATTAATTGAAATACTGTTAATTGAATACTGAAGGGGAATAGAAAAGGTACCATGAGATGCATTCAGATAAGTGCATGTATTTTTGAGTAGTTATCCTCTGTTAGTTAAAGAACTGGTTTTATGGCTCATCCTATAATTCTATACAAAAGGGAAAGCAACAAAAAGTCCAGTTTAGGTGACCTCGCAAGAAGCCTACCTCAAACAAGGTTAACGAGGATTGGAAATATCTTTCAGGAGCTCAAATATCCGTGACCTGTACCATCTATAAAGGAGTGGTGTTAGGGATACTGAGATACGCTTCTTCAGCATGGAGTGAATAACAGAGACAAAGGAGGAAGCTGGAACTCACTATAGACTGGCACTTCTGAAGGTAACAAAAATGTACAAGAATATTTCACACGAAATGTTTTTTCGAAGCCAAGAGGCATAGACTTCAAATAGGAATTTTTAGAGACAAGACTATAGAAAAGTTGCTCAAGCAGGTTAAAAACATCGATCTCCTAAGCCTCACCTGCGGGATCTCTGATACTTGGCTGCCCAGAAAATTGGGGAAGTATGTTACAAAGGAGCCCGACCTACTGTTGCTGAAGAGTGAAGAGTTCTATCCCACCTTCATGGAGGATTTAAGGAGATGGTGGGTCTTACATACTTAATCCTAGGGACAGTGAGACAAGATAGACTGAAGTTGTACCATATCCAGAATGGATAGGTAGGAGAGAATATTAGAATATAGCAAAGTGTAGTCCCACCAGACAGTTGTGCAGATGTGCACCAGCCTAAATAGGAAATCTGTAGTTTGTGTTTGCAAAAATAAACAAATATTTCTGTATGTGTACAGGCATACATGTGTAATACAAAATAGCAATAATTAGAGTTTTATTAACAGCATTGGTACACGTATAATCCATGTACAATATCCCTCTGATGCTGAAATCCCATATGCCAGATTTAACCAGAGAAGGGGGGGAGAGATTAAAGGAATTCTTGAAAAATACTATGCTCTGGGCTGCAATATATTTCTAAAATACATATATATCCACTCCAACTTGGATTTTTCCTTAGAAATTTATGGCAGTCTCCACTGGATTTACATACCGGTGACATGGTTAAGAGAGATATGCTGGGATCTCTTAGAGTCTTGTCTCATCCCCCGTATATGGGAGAAAGGGCTGGACTCAGAGCTCCCATGGCTAACTGTAAATATTGTGATTAAGTACGAATGTTTTTTTTTTTTAATTTCTATATGTTATTTAATTTTGTTTCAAGTTTCATTTCTTTTGTTTTTGTTAGTTCTTTTATCTTTTGTTTTTTGTCTAATTGTGCATATGGTATGAATGTACTTTATATAGCTCTAATACTCAGTGCCCTTCAGTGTGGCAAAATGTAATATTTCTTAATAAAAAGAGCCTTAAAAAATAAAATAAAATTATGGAGCTATAAGTGATGATGTTTGGAATAGATAACACTAAAACATTTCTTAGACTAAGCAAAGATATCAGAGCCATTATAATCAATACTTGATCCAACTGCAGAAATTATTCTTTAAAGTGGAATTCCACACTTATTGACTAATGCAGATAGTAGATATTGATAATGATTTTATATTAGATATTCTGCCGCAAAACTTTTCCTTGGCAAGCTAAGACCATGTCTATATATACTATATGTGGATATTAAATATCTCCACAACAGAAGCTAATAAAAAGAAATCCACTTGTGATATTTGTTTTCTTCTACCCAAGATTAGTTCAGTATGACTAGAATATTTAAGACATTTTTTTTGTTGGTCAGTGTTGTTGATTACTTATTAGACTGACAGATTTATTCTGCAATAAGTCTACACTAGTTTAATTCTCATTTATTTTTTAAATAATAATATTCAACTTTTTTCTATAAAGGAGAATAATTACTGTTAAAAGAAATAATTACGTAATGTAAATATAACATTTTCTTTCTAAGCTTACAATGTATTAATATGACTTATTAGTAGTCTAATATTTTCTGGTGAAACTTGTGAAGATGGATGGGTATAAAAATTATGTTAAAGTAATTGTTTTTGTCATATGTTTGAAATAACATAAATATTAATTTACAACTTCTTAATTCATATTTTTTCTTTGTTGATTTGTATGCATTATGTACAATAAAAATAGTGGATATTTTTCGAATAAGTAACGCTTAAGACTGGAATAAACAATGTCATTCCTGTAATACTTTTGTAGCTATTTAGCTTTTATTTATGTAAGAAAAGTAGAAGAGAAAATATTACCAATAGCTTTGTGTATCTGTCTATTTAGCAATTATTATTGAAATATTTTATAAGTTTTGCTATATTTTTATTATTTCATTACTATATATTATATTTCTCATTAAATTACAATGGTTTTCTTGCATATCTCCTCAATTCGCAATTTAATAGGAAAAGTTTGTTAATTCTCAAACTATCAAGAAATTTATTCAGGGCAATTCACAGAGTTATAAATATCTTTTTGGACCATTCTCCTTACTTTGGGTTTGTATTTAACTCCTAATTACCAAAAAATGTTTAATAACAATATTAATAAATAAAATCCAACCAACACTAAGTCCTCATTGGGCTTAGGATTTTAGACATCTCCCCCACTTAATCTTGTTGATGACCTTAAGAAAGTTATTATTATAGAAAGTATGATTAGAAAGAACTTTGATTCATAGGTCATTAAATTCGGTATCAAATATTATATTTAATTGTTTAAATATAATATTTATAATTAGTTTTATTATATTGTGTCAATCCATAAAATTTATTGACTGGTAAAACAGTTTCATATTTCATGAGAAATTTTTCTTTCTTAATACAATTATTTTCCATAATGATTGTTCAGCCTATCAAAGAGGTACAAATTTATTCATTTTTAACTGTACAAAAAAGTTTCAGCTTTATCAAATCAATTTATTAGATATTCAGAAATATTTGAAAAGAAAGTACGTCTTGTATATGACCATTTTTCAAATTCTACCCGTCTTATGTGCATAAACATTTGCTGATAAATGAAACTAAAACACTCATTGTTATTTATGTCAGAATATCAGTAGTGTTTTTATAATTAAGAGGGATTCCCATTTTCTATCTTGGACCACTTATCACCACATATTGATAGAATATAAAAATCATACTTTTTAATAGTTAATTACAAACTTATATTTCACTGTTTCCCAATAGTGGAAGGTATATTTATATTTTTATGGTTTTCCCTTCCTAAGTGTTCAAGTTTACTCAGGAACTAATTGTACAAATGGGATCCATTTGAAGTTCATCCCGTGGAAACAGAAGTGGTTGATCATCAAGACCAACTTTTACTTCTTCGTAAATCAACTCCTCTTCTTCATCATCCTCTTCCTCTTCTGAATCTCTCCAAGAACCAGCTTCCCCCGGTAACCAGCAGATGAAAATAAACCAATTCTGAAATATATATTTTTTAAAAGTATTGTGTATTTTCATTAATAATTAAATATACTTTATCATTATCATTTAATATAGTAGATTTTCGGTTATTATAATGTTACAGAAAAATTAATTAAGGTTTTGGATACATAGAAAGTATTTTCTTTAATAGCAATAGTAATATTTTCATGAATTTATAGTTTTTATGAGATTTTATCTTTTTGAAAGTTATAAGAGGTGATTCAAATAGAAGGCCAAATTTAAACTGTTATTAAATTTGAAACTGAAATACAAATGCTATTCATTTTGAAATAATCTATACGTACCAGGAAGCCATGGCTTGCTAAGAAAAGAAGAGGAAAGATTAAAGAACTGGAATTCTCTAACGCGAGAACACCAAGGAACCAAGAAACAGCAAATAAGGGGAGCAATGATGCAGCAACTCTTAGAGATTTCCTGTCTACTTCATCAGCCTTTCCAGCAAGTTGAAGTCCTGCCACAGAGAGGCCAGTGTTCATCTAATAAAACAACAAAAACATATATAATGAATTATTTTCTTTTTGATTATAACTACAAATAAGCACAGGCTGATCTACAGAGAGAGAGGGAGGAGCAGAGGAGGAGCTTTTGAGCTGAAATCCTTCCCCAAAATGATAACCACTTCTAATGAAAAAAAAATCTCTAAAAGAATTACTGTTCCTATAATTACATTTAATAGGACATCAAGAATCACTTAAACAACATTTCATACAGGTAGTTAGTTTCTTTCTTTTTCTTGAAAATTAATTATCATTAATTAATATATAGATCTTTACAACTTTTCCTTAATCGACCTTTGAGTATTAAATTTAAACATAACTATTTACTTGGGAATAAGGTCACTTTAAACTACTGAATGTTCATTTCCTCTATGTTTATTGATGTTTCGATCCCGGTATTTTCTTTTTATAAGTCAACGATGGGATCCTCTTCAAAGCTAGAATTTTAAAAATAGAGCTTTGATCAGGCCAGGGACACACCGACAGTCTCAGCACTGTCCACTAGCACATATATTAAGCTACTGTAGTAAAAAGCTTAATATATGTGTAGCTTAATATATGTGTTAGTGGACGGTGCTGAGACTGTCGGTGTGTCCCTGGCCTGATCAAAGCTCTATTTTTAAAATTCTAACTTTGAAGAGGATCCCATCGTTGACTTATAAAAAGAAAACACCGGGATCGAAACGTCAATAAACATAGAGGAAATGAACATTCAGTAGTTTATTAAATAATTAATAAGTGACCTTATTCCCAAGTAAATAGTTATGTTTAAATATATATATATATATATGTATATATATATATATATACATGACAACCTTTCGGGATGAAGCCCCCAAAATTAAATCTTGGGTCCACTAGTGCAAATAAGTATAGATGTATTCATTAAGGAGGAGGATAGTGGGGTGTGTCGTCTGTCACAGTAATTTATAAACTCAAATTTAAGATTTGTGAACCTACTAGAAACCTAGAAATCTACTACTAGTAAAACATTTTACTAAAAGAGTCACTAATTTTTATAACCAAGACCAATACCTTTTAAGTAAAGAAACTAGTACTTTACCAATACAATGTTATGTTTAAATAGAAAAGAAAATTATAGTTGTCAAGTATCAATTGGTAAGAATAGTGTTCAAATAAATTTTAAAAGAAATAGGAAATTTAAAATATTTCCGAATGAAATGGTTATAATTTATTTTCTGTGTAATTTCATTCCAGCAATTGAAATTGTTGTAAAACTAGTGTTCCTATTATTGAACTTTTTTTTTCTGTTCTTCCCTATTTCGCCTTTAAGACTGTACAGGATTTTCCCTGGCCAGATTAAAATCCCTCCGTCACCAGGACCTCGTACTTTTTAATCTCTCATATCTCCAGTTATCTGGTTAAGGCAATTCGCAGTGCTGTGCACATGCAGTAGCCAATTTGTATTAAACCATGTAGATTTAAAATCATGGGGGGTGGTGTTATAGGCACATATTGTATTTGGGAGAACTAATATCCTGGATCATCCACCCTCACATTGCTACAGATCATGGTCTTTGTGGCGCAGCAGCAGGCCATCTGTAGCTCCTTATACTAGCTGATCCTTTATATAGTCCATCTGGTGGTGTTTTCTCACTGAATCACTCGAGCATGGAACTTATACAGTACTCATTGTAATACTAATATATATTAGTACATTATATATATATATTTAATTATATATTGTAATATATATATATATATATATATATATATATATATAATATATATATATATATACATATATATATATATATATATATATATATATATAATATATATATATATATATATATATTAGTGTGTAATACTAATATATAAGACTTTTGGAGCATGGACTAGAAGTCTAACTACAATAGTTTTATCTGAAAAAAAAATTTGCTTACGATCATTAATAATGATAATGGCGCCATGAAAGAGAAAACCATTCCTCTCTCAACAGACATCCAGCAGTAGTCTCTAGATTCATAACCCGGCCTCTCAACCAATCTTGACACCTGAAACGAGCATCAAGTAAAAAATAAAAAGTTCTTTAACCAAATTTAATGAAAATTTTAATCAAATTTATTTTATGTAAGTCAATAAGTATTAGTGATTTTTATTAAAATTTAACAATTTATAATAATTTTATTACCAAGTAATATAAAATACTGATGAACCATTTGAATTCTCTACAAATCTATAAAATTTTTAATTTTATATTTTCACTGATAAAATCTACTTACTGTTGTGAAATGGTAATGGCATTTATTTGTATTTATTGTGTTTAATATTTATATTTGGGTTTCTAGGGAGCGGGGTAGCTCAGTGGGTGAGCACTGACTTCCGGAGCTGTAGGACTCAGGTTCGAATCTGGCTGATGACATGTCATTTTTCATCAGCCATGGAACGACCTCTAGGACTGGGAGATCCTATTGTGGTAAATCCAGCCTCTATAAAGTGAGTACTCTAAATTAAATAATTAATTAAGGGGAAAAACCTGGTGGTTGAGCGTGATATCATCCCAATCACCTTCCTGCACAATCGCTGGCCTTGTAACAACACCTTCTCACATTATACTGAATCCAGGATCCTTCATAAGTTTATTTGACCCAGAAGAGAAATAATAAATTTTAAAAATATACTAACAATGTAGTTAAAAGCTAGATATCACAGATCCTCTTGCTGTAATATACTAGATTGATTTATAAATCAGATGCGATATCTGTTCCAAGAGCATCTTGTTACCAATTCACTATTTGTAATTATACATCTAAATGGTGGCATTCATGAAAAATTCTATGAATAATGATTTAATAAATAAAGGAAAAGGCTGAAGCTTCCCTCAAAATGGTAAAATATAACTGTGTCTTATGAAAAAAGTCATCTCTTGTAATATTATTGTTCATGGAATTACATTTAATAGGACTTCAAGATTCACTTAAACGCCATTTCATAAAGGTAGTTAGTTTCTTTCTTTTTGTTCCAGAGTAATTATCGTTTTATATATATTGCTTTTGTGCTAAAGCCCCCCAAATTAAATCCTGGATCTGCTAGTGATTTGTAGTAGGGAGTGACTACCCTTACATTTTTAGGTATATGTTCTTCTATTACAATTTCTGGAGGTGTCGGCTTTCTTTTGATTTTATCTTTATTATTTATCTGAGAACAAGACCTGGGAACCCAAGCCCTGCCCTGTCTCCAGTCCTCCTATATAGGCCGCTATTAATTATCTTATTTTCAAGGTTGACTCTATTGATTGTTATTTCGTGAAATATATTCCAATTTTATGAATTAAATGTGTCAGCATCTACGATATATAACAGTTGCTCATGAATAATATAAGTTATGAAAAATTCTACACCTATAATCCCGCATTTTAAACTGTCAGCTTTTAGAAGGTACATTGAAAACATTGAAGCTGTATGAGGCTGGGTGTATAACACAATTATTAAAGTAAATCACGGAGTTCATACCGTTTTTTTCAGTCTTAACATTAATATTGATTTGAACTTAATGTACTTTTTGGGCTTGAAAAGTATTTTAATTGACAAATGATAGAAGGTATACAAAATGTGGGTTGAAGAGTAAGGGATACTGACCTTTTTTTAGTCTGTTTTTGTTGTTGTTACTATTTTCTGATAAGTTATATTTTGAAAGTAGGATAATCCCTAAAATAAATGTAGACTTGAAAATGGAAAAAGTGGTTCATTAAAATATGACGGAGCGAGAAGGGTGTTATATTTTTTTCTGAGATTTCATATGTTGAAATACTTTAACACCCTTGCAAAATTTATATATATATATATATATATATATATATATATATATATATATATATAATATTAAATAAACACTTACATAAACTGCCCCAGCTGGTAGAGACCAGGCAATGAAAAAGTGAACTAAGAGTCGAGTCGAACTTCCCGGGTCTCGTAGTTTCTGGTACAAATAGACGGAGTTTGCCGAGAACCAACAGGAAGCAACCAGATGAAGGTAGTGGAGAATCATTGCTACTAGTTCACACTGGGACCTGTCACTTGTTGCCTAGAGCGCAAAAAAAAATTTCAGAACACGATACAAGTTAATAATGCAAGAGAAATTTACATTAAATAAAATGTAATGCATTCTAGTAGACCCTATATGCTCTACAAATATATAAATTATTATAATATACTATAATAGATTCTTTTTCCTTATTGAAATTTAATTAATTGTTAAATAAACTCTACTTAAAGAAAAAGGGTGCATTGCTACCCCAGTCAAATTAGCACAAAAAGGGGTCTAGCTTGCAAGAGATCGGGTAATTGATATTTCTTTTTTATATTGTTAGGAATGCAGTGAATGCAGACATCATTGCTATCTAAGAGGTAAGATGGACGGGAGAGAGAACGTTCTGCAAGAGAAGCACTGTGTTATATATTATGGTTGTAACGGGCGAATTCACACATTTTAGACCGGATTCATCGTTAGTACATCAATCTCCTAGCTAATAATTCATTTCAAAACCATCAATACGCAAATATGTTATCTAGGTGTAAAAGACAAATTCTCTAATTTTAGCATCATTAATAATGCCATTAATAAGAGAGCTCCGGCAATAATATGCAGCAAGAAATCAATAGATGGTTAATGACTGCAAACAAATGCTATTCGGGCAAAACAGTTTTGAAGTAGATGATTTAAAGAACACAAAAGTGCAGATTTATAAGACACTCATAAGACCTATGCTTCCGAATGTTAGGCGATCTCTCGAGTTTAAGAACTAATGCTCCTAAGTTTAGCGGTAAAGATTGGTGACAAAGAAGTAATTCTTGAATAGAAAGAATGTATAATCGTACAAATGTCGTCAAATTCATAAGGATTGGAAGGCTTCATTGGGCAGGCCATGTTTCTCTAATGAAGAATTATGAGGTCCCAAAGGGACTTTTGTAAGACAGAATGTACGACAATAGAAGAATTGGCAGGCCAAAACTGCGGTGGGCCGATGGAGTGGAAGAGGATGGAGTGGATGCACCAGAGGATGACCATCCTGGGAGTGAGAAACTGGAAGGCAGTGGCAGCGAACCGAGAGGACTAGCGGTTGATGTTGCGGGAGGGCCTGGCTCACCACTGAGTTTTGATTAAATAATAATTTACTATTTACAATAAGTTTACACGGTAAAACGGAAGATAAGTTGGAGCAGTATTTACACGCAATCTTTTATCTCTCCAATTTGTAGAAAATGATTCTCCTTGGACCGAATTTTGGATTAAATTTAATAATATTATTAAATATTTAATAATTAATATTAATTAATTCTTGCGCTAGATTAATAAATATCGCTCTGCTAGAATAAATATCGAGGCCGCAGGTTCCCCACCCATAGCGTACAGGATTTAGAATTTCCCACTGTTTTACTTTTTCAGTCATGATTCAATACAAACTCCGTTTATTTCAGTCATGTACTTTTTATTTAGTATTTGGTACCCAATCAATAAGTTTTAAAAATTAATGCACTAAGTCACTTTAAAATATGTTAAATGTAATTGGATTTACCTGTACTCCAAGCATGAATATTACGTTACTTAGTGTGAGCGCTAATTCTGTGTTTATAATGATGATAAGTGATGGATCTTTACATCTCGCTTTTCTTAAAGCGCCAGCTAGTGTTAGTAACTGACCTATTAGACCAATTACAGCACCCACGATCAGTACCTGTAATCAAAATGATTACATACAATAAATTGAATTAGCAGCAGAAGTATATAAATTATTAAAAATAAATGATAAAAGCCTCAATAGATGGTAGTATTCTATAAATGAGAGGAGTTAGACTGCCACAGTATTTAATCTTGCGTTTCATAATGTGCTAAAGAAAATGAAAACTATTGGAGATACACTTCATTTATCAATATCTACCATACTTCATTACAGAAGCGGATTTCCCAAACTGGGGCAAATCATTTTAAACACTTTTAATGAAAAGAAAAAGTATTACAAATTAAGAACTAAGATAAGAAACGACAAGAGAAATCGGTCAAACCAACCTAATCGGTCAAGCCTATCTTATTAAAAAAAAAAAGATCAATTCAAAGGTAAATAATTAAAATATTTTATTTCATACATTGTGAATTACTGATAAAAATTATATGGTAAAAAATTACAAAGCATATTAAAACTAAGAAGAGTAATTTTACAATAATTAAATTGAAAAATAAGTTTTTAAAACTTTCTTCAATAATAATACTACCACCTGAGCAATATATAATTAGAATAAAGACCAAAGAATGGGTCTTTTTTAATAAAAAGAAAAAAACTTTTAATGAATAGTCGTAACAATTCGTACAATTATATCAGTGGAAATTAGCTCTTTCATAATGTGGAATATGCATATTTCAAAACTTGTACAAATTCATGTTTCATAAATAATTGTTTTGGACGAATTATTGTAATATAAAATTACTTTATATTAAACATGAATATGACTGATATACAAAACAAATATAGTGTGCGCATCACACGAGTTTCACTTATCACCCTCTTCTTAGCAGAAATAAGTTTCGGACCAAGGGGATGTGGAAATAAAAATTTACATTTCATTGTGCGTGTTTTTATTTTTTTAAATACCCTTCAATATACAAATTTTAATTTGTCTATTGCTGTATTCTATACAATTAAATATTAAATAATACCAACGATAGAATTTATGAAAACCGCATATGTATATGTACATAATATTGTTGGAGTCCATATTATATTAAGTTTGTGTTACCTATGGAAGCCTGTTATAATCTTCCGGGCGAGATCGGGTGATCTCGGACGCCCTCGTATTCCTTTGGTTTCTCCATTACAATTATTATCGGTTACGATCTTTCGTTTCTCCTTTAGTTTATTAACAAATTCTTTCATATTTTATATTTAACTATTTTTTATATCAAAGATTAATGCGAAATGGTTAATTATTTAAAAAAAAAAGGTACTGTAGAAGAAGCTAATATTGAAAATTAGCCATTTAAGCCCTGTTAGAGAACATCAATGGGAATAAAACCTACATTATATTAAAAACTGCTTAATAATACACTGATATTCGGAATTTCATCAAAATCGTTAGGGTCGTTTTCGAGAAAATCGTAAAAATGTGTAACATTGATTATATAAACTGCCAATTCCGGTTAGTCGATTTTGATGAAAAAGTTGCTGAAACATCACGGGCATATACAAACCTTAAATATGCAATTTCACTTTCATACAATTCGTTTTGAGCTAGACTGTTAACAAACACAGACCATTTTGTGGAATTTGGACTCAGGAGAGGGTCAATCCATTTTAAATCATCCATTTTGAATTAATTTTGTTGCTTCAAATTTTTGATTTTTATAATTTCTTTACCAGTTATTCCATATTTATTTGAGAGTTCAAAACCGTAGTTAAAAAAAAGTTAAGCCTCACAGGTTTTTCTCAGCGGTGATTTTTAATTTTCTTTTGGACTGAAAACATATTTTTGGAAAATGCCTGTAACTCTGGTTATTTTGTAGATATCAAGCCAAAATAAAAACTGAAATAATTTAGATTATTTTTTGCTACATTTCTGTAGGTCAGTACAGTCCCTTTTGTTTGAATATTTATGGTAAAAGAAGGAAGGCAAGTGAAAGTTGTGTGATGCGCTCGCCATTTTTCCATTGTTTTTCGAGTTTTCCCCCATTTTAAAGGTTTTGCGTTCCTCTACAGCCCCTCCAAATTGTGTTAAAATACTAATAATTTGAATGTGAATAGAGTCAGTATCAGAAAATTACACTATTTCGATTAATTAAATTCTAAAAAAAAAGTGATTAAATGTTTAGAAATATGGCACGAGAAAGAAATTCAATGGTTAATTTTTTTCAATACATTTTGTTCTCTGTCCTTTTGTGAACTAGGATAGCTTTTTTTCTTCCGTCGTATTGACATGTTTTCGATATTTTTTAATAAGGTTAACTGGTCTCGTTCTTCGTAAGCATTGTAATTTTACCACATTTATTACGAATTCCATCTATGTGAACTACATTGGAATCAACTTAGGAATATTAATTACCATTACTTCTATTTATAGTGTAATAAAATAATATTATATTAGATACAGTGTGCTGGGCGGGCCGGACCTGCCTCCCAGGAGGAGAGTCTTGCCTACTGGTGCCACCGAAATAAATGTACATCACTGAGTCTATGCGGTCGTGATCATGGAGGTCTGTGTCGGCCAAGCTGTTGTCTGGTAATGGGTCTTCTAGCAGCTTTCGTTCCTCTTCTGAAAAAAAACATTTTTTTTTGTTTTATCTATGGATGAAATACATACTATAACTTAGTTATAATATAATGAGTAACTTAAAGTATGTTATATACAAGAAAAATGTATGGAGATGGGAATAAAGATAGGTGATAAATCGTGGCCTTAGTTTGAAAACGTTCTACTGCATTCAGCATCATTTTTAGAAAAAGAGCTCCAAAGCTACAATTGACTGTATTATGAATATTTTGTTACTTAGATCAACAATTTAGTTTGTACAATATCTTGATGCTGAATATGTATTCTTTGATACCTTAATAGTTCCTCTTTTTATATATATATATTTTTTTTTTTTGAGACTTTATTTTTAAACTCAAATCTGTTGGGAATACCAAAAAAGCAGCGAGTGTGCTGTCGGGAATAATAGTCTAGATTAAGCCATTGGTAGCGGTGAAGGAAAGGAGTGCCCTGCGGCGTCCCTTCTTAACTTGAATTTATGCTTATAGTTAATGGAGAAGATCCCTCATCTAGCTTCTTTTGAGCCTCCTACGGGTGCTATCGGTAGTGTTGCCCAAATGCGAGATCAAGACGAGTCTTGGTCCTGCGCACTCAGTCTTAGTCTTGGTCTAGCGCAGGAGTCTCGCAGTTATCTATTAGTCTATTACTATAAGCAGATATTACTGTACTTTTTTAGATATGGGAAACCTAACTAAGCTCGAATGAAAAATTGGAAGAATTACATGCGAAAGTATATTGGTTATACTTTTTTATTTTTATAGTATAGACAGATGCTTTCCAAAAAAGAATGGAATAGTTTTTTTTGTTTGGATACAATCCTGTTCGTTCCACAACACAGAATTTAAGGTTCTAATTACCAAGTTTCCTCTTATAAGTTTTTTCATGATGTCCTTGAAGGAGCTTCCATCTTCGGTTACTCATCTATTGAGATATTTAAATTCTTGGGTTCTTGCTAATTCCCGATTTCTCTTATATTTCGATGAAATGCAGTTTACTAAGTTTTTCCTATTTCAACTCTAGACTCCATACTGTAGACCCCTCTAGAAGCATTCTTTGCATATAGCATCTGCTTCATCTTACCAACCATCGCCTAGTCGTCAGCGAATCGAAATATAAGAGAAATTGGGAATTAGCAAGAACTCAAGAATTTAAATATCTCATTGATGAGTAACTGAAGATGGAAGCTCCTCCAAGGACATGATGAAAAAACTTATAAGAGGAAGCTTGATAATTAGAATCTTAAATTTTGTGTTGTGGAACGAACAGGGTAGTATCCAAACAACAAAAAAAAAACTATTCCATTCTTTTTTGGAAAGCATCTGTCATTAGTATAAAAATAAAAAAGTTATTGACATTGGAGATGGATTTTGGAAGACGCTGCTATACCATTTCCAGACTCCAACATTTTCCTAAAAAAGCCTTTCGGCAACAAAACACTGCTGCACAACATAGAAACCAAAAATTAAAATGATAAGGCCTTTTACAAATATTGCCGGAGGAGCGTTGTCCAAAATTAATCTCTCCCCATATAAAGCGATAGAAAGACGAAAAAGAGCAGAGATCTATATGTTGTGAAAAAATCGTTATTATGTTTTTCTGTTGTATACGAAGGTTTCTGGCTCGTAAATAGCAATCGCGTCTCTATTGCAATATGTATATGGTTGTAATGTAATCACAAGAACGTAAATATATAATGACGCAATGCATTGTTACAATAAGATAACACTGTACTGTGTCAAAATCCTCCCTTTAACAGATTTTTTTTTTATGTTTTGAGGTAGCCTTAACACGAATCCAAAGGCAGAAAACCTCTATCAGGCACCATTTTATGTCAAATTTGTGTTGTCAGCCAAAACATGAGACGTTTTTCGACATTTTAGGCAGTTTTCTATCATTGAAAACGGCAACGAAAAATGAAAAAAAAAAAAAGATTTTGAACCTAAAATGTATTACAACATGAACAAAGTCCGTGAGTTCATGTGTTCGGCTTCAAGAATTTTTTTGGCAACATATTCGCGCTCTATTTAAGGATCTTGAATTAAAAGAAAAATTAAATGAAAATGAAGAAGGAGCTTGATCATCGTTCGAAAACGCCTGCCAACAATTTTCAGAAAACAAAAGAGCTACAAATACAAAGAAATTGTTAAAGAATTGCATTCATCATATAAGGCAAACGGGCATACATGCCATTATAAATTCATTTTTTGCACTCTCATCTGAATTTCTTCCCTTTCAACTTGGGAGTATTTTCAGTTGAACACGGATAACGGTTTCATCAAGAAATAGCCCAAATAGAGAAGTTGTATAGCGGTAAATGAAATGAGATGCTTGTGCTGAATACTGCTGGACACTGCAACGGGAAACAGCTGATGAATACTATAAAAGTTGAAAATATACACATTGACTAGGGATAAAGTTATATTATGTTGAGGATTAACAATTTTATTCATATTTATTATTATTAACTAGAAAATAAATAAATAAAGGAAGTAAGAAAAAAATATGCTATTTAAGGTTTTTTCAAAAACAACTTTCATTCTCTTTAAAAATGGTACCTGATAAATTTTTTTAGACTTGAAAATCGAACTCAGCACATGTGAAAATATAAAAATCAGAAACAATTTATCAAGGATGTGAATTTTTTTGCAGAATAGTGTAACTAAAAAGAAAATATTAAAACAACTCTTTTATATATATATATATATATATATATATATATATATATATATATATATATGTATATATATATATATATATATATATATGTATATATATATATATAAATATATATATGTTCCGGGCGATTAACCAACGAAGTTGATTCTCTGACTGGCTGAAATCTTCCTCATACCGTTACGTAGCTTAAAAGCCAGTGTTTAGGATCGGATTTATTATTCGCCCGAAGAGACTCAAGTACCGATGGTTCTGTAATTGGTAGCTACTAAATATTCACTTTAATTCTCCCCTGTCATTATCCGGATTTAGTTCCATTAAGGGAACACGGTGGAACCTACAACCTGGATTGTAGGTTGTAGATCGCTTTACGGCCATTTAACACCCTGGGTGTGACATAATTTGCATAACCCCCCCTTCTCTCATTTACATAACTTAACGTCAAACTCTATCCCTTGGCTAAATATCACTTAAACCTATCGCTGCTGCGGTGTAGACTTAAATTTAAGAAAGTGATTAAAATTATCGGACTTCTCCGTCAGCGTGTATAAAAAGAAAAGTTATTTTTTTGGCTGGATTAATTCAGAGCTATTTTTCATTTATTTATTATTACATAAATGTAATTTAATAGAAAGTATGGGAAATGTCTAATGAATATACTATTACACGTGATGGCTTGACATTCACTTACATGTTAATAATTGCTTGCCTTGTAGTTGTTAATAAATAAATGTTAATAATTAAGTTGGATGCCTCTGTAGTGTTGGTAATTACAAATGATAGGCTTAGCTCTTTCATTAATACTTTTTTCTTTCTATCCGGGCAACGAGCTAGCAGAATATCAAACAACTATGCAATGAATGCAAATTTATTTATACATTATTGAAATACTTAAATATATCTAGTCCAATAGATCGCCAAATAATCCTTTCTTTGTATCTAACTAGTTATTTTTTATTTACTTTGTTAACCATCTCCAATTTATTTTCTGCAATCATAAAGTGTACATAGGACAGTGAATCACACAATAAAACACAGTGCTAACGGCGAATACAACTGAACTGGAATTTTTTGAACTCTTAAGGACAATAATCAGAAAGTCACCGTGTTACATTTTTACAAAATTTAATCTGGTTTTATTATTGAAGAGATTATATTGTAATTCTTTTTCATTCGGTAAAGCACAGAGTCACATAGGTAATAAAAAATAAATCTTCCCTAAATCTTTAAGAGAGTAAATCGCCATTTTTCTTTACTAAAACAAATCATTTGAATTGAATGAAAGATAAAATATGACATTGTCAAACTTTTTTTTTTACTCAACTTCTCAAAAGAAAGAACTAACCTTCATTAGAAGTTACAAGCACAGAGAAAACTACGAAAAACAATTATGAGGTTTGTGAAAGGAACGTTGTGTTCTTGCAAAACATCAAGAGTTGCAATGGAAGAAAAAAAACTACGCTGTAGGCTTTAGACTACACGATGGAAGTGAAAACATCAACAAGGTGAGATTAAAAATACGAACTTTTTTTTGTTCAAGATTCACGAAGTATTAATATTTACAATATATACAATTATAATTGTGTATAAATTATTCTAGAAAACTTTGGTCTGACTGACCGTCATCTGAATCATACTATAAAAATGTTACAATAGTTTTATGATAACTAAAATATGTGATGAATACTTTAGGTTGAATATAAAATCTTTTTGTTAAATATCTAACAAAAAATCCGTCATTTTTTTAAATATAACTTCTGTAACGGGGGTTGTGTAATTTGTCGAAACTCTATCAAGTGCAACTCATTCAAGTCTCATTGAAATCGGTACATTCGTTTAGGCGCTACAGCCTATAGCAACGCAGGTTTTTCTGCATTTTTACATGTTTTCTCCTTTTTTTAATTATCAAATTCTTTCAAAAGTTATATTTAGCATTTTTTCGTAACTCTGAATAATGTGAAATGATTAACTTTTTAAAATAAACCATATTAGAGGTACTTTAGAGGAAGACGTATGTGAACATTGGGCATTTAAGCCCAGTAAAGTGACATCAATGGGGATAAGACCTAATTGATATTAAAGATTACATCGTTATACAATGATACACCGAGTTTAATAAAAATCGTTGGAGCCGTTTTTGAGAAAATTATAAAAATTTGTTTCAGCGTTGATATAAAGTGGCACTTTCGGTTAGCCGATTTTGAGGAAAAAGTTGCTGTCACATCTAAGGCATATACCTATCTTAAATACGTAATACCAGTTTCGTACGACTTTTCGTTTTTGAGCTAGACTCCTAACATAAAAAGGCACAGACCATTTTTCGGGTCTTGGTCATTTAGACTCAGGGTACCTCAAAACGTGTATTTCCGTCGAAAATGAGATTCAAAAATTTTCTCGATCGCAATACTTACCCTTACTATATATTTCATACATACGTAAGTGAAAGTAAAAATATGTTGATGAACTGACAAAAAAAAATATGTTAATTAAGGATTTACATACGTGATGAATTGAGCAATAGATCCGGATAGTCCGGGTAAGGAGAGTAATAGTCTTCCTCTTCGGCGGAGCTGTTGACAAGGGTTGAGGAAGCCGTTGAGGCGTTGAGGGACGGAGTCGGACCTGCACCAAGCGAGGGGGCGGGCGCGGAGCTCAGCGGCACTGGGATCTCGGTCACCCAGCCTCCTGAAACATCAAAATAAACAAACATAATTCTTCAATGCTCTATAATTCCTACAACTCCTTACAACCAGTCCCGGTCTGCATTTCATAAAAATTCCACCCGGTTTGTCATGATATCTTGCAGGCAACCTGCACTGACACCATGCAGGTGAACTGCATCGATATCCGCCAAGTGTAAACTCCACTTTGGAGTTCACTAATTGTTAGAACTCAGTGCTAACCACAATAGGGATGTGAGCAGGATTATATTATTAAGGGTTAATAAAAATATATTAAGTGGTCCAGGTTGGATTTAAAACCACGCCGCCTCCAAATGGAAAATAAATTAAGTATAGACCGATACGAAGATTGAACATTTGCCATTAATCTTTTTACACCAATGTAAAAAATTGTATTAATTTTTTTTTTTTTTTTTTTTGGACTTACATATATATATATCCGCACCTGTCAATTATGATTGACAATCAGCAGATGTGCTGGCGTAGTAATGAGAGAAAAAATAATAATAATAATAATAAATAAATAAAAAAGGCTTGATAGGCATGAGGAATAGCAATAACCAGCGGTATCCCTTCCATGGCTTTTATTTATTAAAACATTATTTCAGCAGATCCCTCATCCAGACCCTTTTCAGTCGTCTTCTGGAGTTCTCGGGCATACTAGTTGTGGCCATTTCTTTTACCAGCTGGTTGGAGTGCCCGTTTAACATGTTATGAAATCGTTTGTAGTACGTTCGTATGTTTTCGTTGACTGTCGGAACGTGTAAGTCGGTGTGTAAAGTTTGCTTGTTTACGTACCATGGTGCTTGAGTGATTAGTCGTAGTATCTTTGACTGAAAAGTTTGAAGTTTTTTTATGTGAGTTGGTTTTGCAATTCCGTATATTTGTAGTCCGTAAGTCCAAAGAGGTTTTAAAAGATATGTGTAAATACTTAGTTTCTATCTTGCTTTTAATTTGGAATGTCGTCTTAACAGTGAATGTAACAATTTTAGTCTTAGATTTAATGTGATTCGTTTTTTCTTCACATGTGGACCCCATGTCATTCTCCTATCGAACGTAAGGCCTAAGTATTGTACTCTGTCTGTTTGTGGAATCGGTACATTGTCTAAGTATACAGGAGGGCATGTTTCTGGTCTTAGAGTAAATGTGATGTGCTGTGACTTTTGATAATTTATTTGAGTTTTCCAAAGTTTACACCAATCGAGTATAATCTGTAAGTGATGTTGTATGTTAAGTGATGCTTCTGTAGGATTGTCGTGCCTGGTAATGATAGCAGTGTCGTCTGCGTAGGTTGCTGTAAGAGTGTGGATACTTTGAGGAATGTCGTGTGTGTATGTGATGTACAGTAGTGGGGCAAGGATAGATCCCTGAGGTACGCCAGCTAAAACTGATCGAATTGAGGATAGACCTTGACCATGTCGAACGGAGAAAAATCTATCTGAGAGAAAGGAATGGAGAATTAAGTAGTAAGTATGTGGAAGTATGGTCTTAACCTTGAAGAGAAGCCCCTGATGCCATACTTTGTCAAACGCTTGGGTGACATCCAGAAATACTCCGGTTGCATATAGTTTTCGCTCTAGTGCTGTCGATAGGTAGTCAGTTACCCTGTGTAATTGTTGTGTTGTTGAATGTAATTTTCGAAACCCGAATTGATGGTCAGGAATAATCTGTCTGTCTGTTAGTATATGTAATAGTCGTGGGTACAATAGTTTTTCGAATAACTTAGAACATACTGGAAGTAAACTAATCGGTCGATATGAAGAAGGATTGTTAGTGTCTTTGTCTGGCTTTTTAATCGTGGTTATGTGTGAGTATTTCCACTGTATAGGAAATTTGGTGGTCCTGAGAATGCAATTGAAGATTGTGGTAAGAAACACTAGAGCTTTCCTTGGCATTTGCTGGAGCGCCTCAGCAGTTATCAAGTCATGACCAGGGGTTTTTCTTTTGGGCAATTGTCTAATTTCTTGTGCAACTTGTGATGGTGTGAAAGGAGGTGGTGGTAGTGTGAGCTGTAACGGTATGTCTAAGTTATTATGTACAAAAATATCGTGTTCTGTATTAATTAAGTCTGTATGTGGTTTGAAAACAGTGGAAAGGTGGTTAGCAAAGAGTTCAGATCTTTCCTCGTCCGAAACAGCCCAAGAGCCATCCTCTCTTCGTAGGGGTGCTGACACCTCACGATGCTTTAAAAGATTCCTTGTATGTCTCCATAAACTTCCATCGTCCGTCGAAAGGTTGTTAATAAAATTGTCGTAGTTTGTGCTTTTGAATTTTTGAATATGTCTTTTGAGTTCGTTGTTCAATCTGTTAAAAGTTTGTCTGTCTGAAGGAAGTCTATTAGTCTGCCATACTTTACGTGATTTTCTCTTTGCTCTGATCAAGTCCCTTATGTGCATAGGATAATGGGGCAAGTTCGGTGCTTTTTGTGGCCTGGATGCTGATAAGGCCCATGCTGCATCTTGTATGCTTTTTGTGAATTTTTCAACAGCTTCTTCTAATTCCTCATGATTTTTAATTGAACCTGGAACAGAAAGATTGGTGTTCAAATGGTCTCTATATGCGTCCCAGTCCATGCAGCCTTTTATGAGCCTAGGTCTTTTTTGTGCTTCGGAAGGCGCGTCGAATAGAACCATGTGCACTGAGGAGTGATCAGAACAAAGATCAGAGCTTGTATTGACGGCAAATGGTACGGTTTTTAGTCCTTTTGTAATAAAGAAATCAAGTAAGTCAAATAAAGAAATCAATAAGAGTTTTGCGTCTGGAGGTGGGCCAATAAGTTGGTGAATTTGGAGTTACAGTGTCTAATGAAAGTTCATGGAGAACAGACCAGAGATTTCTGCCTCTTGGAGTAGACAACCTTGAACCCCAGCCTTGATGCTTAGCATTATAGTCTCCACCTGCGATGAAGCATCTTCCGAGGCGTTTGAAGAACTCAGAAAACATCGTGGGTGTAAGCTTGTACCTAGGGGGACAGTAAACTGAGGCAAATGTTATAGTGTAGTGTTTAGTGTATAGTGTTATTCCTGTCGATTGGATGTCGGGTGTAATGGGTAAGTCTACGGGATTGTGTTTCAGTGAATTTTTAACGAGTATAGCTGTTCCTCCATGTGCGGTTTTATCTGGGTGATCAGTTCTATAAATTGTGTAATCCTGAATGTAAATTTTTGATCGAGATGTCAGGTGTGTTTCTGTAATGAGTGCTACGTCGATCCGTTTTTCGTGCAAGTATAAGTCGAGTTCAGTACTGTGCTGTTCCGTTGGCATTCCATAGAATAACTGACAAGGAGCCTACAGTTAAATTATTGTGGGCCATAATTTGGGCACCAGACCTGTGTAACCTGTGACAGTTGTTGAAGAAGAATGAAAAGGGGCTGGATTAGGTTATTTAATCCATTAATTATATTAAATAATTGGGAAGAGCCATTATCTACCGGAGGTATCGGTTGGGTAATGCCTCTCCTCGTACCTGCACATGTTTTCTGGTCCGGGGGTGCTGAACTAGATGATGTTTGATTTTGTTGTTGCGGAGGTCCTGCGATGATCTGTGGTTCCCCTTGGTTGTGACGTTGCCGCATTGGGGGGAATTCATGCATGGCTGGAGGTCCCTGCGCTGGCTCTGCTACTGTGGAACGCTGAAGACGATTTCTTGCATTGCGCTGAACCCTGAGGTCTTTCAGCGTCTGGCAGCCTCTGTAATTAGCGGGGTGCTGACCGGCACAGTTGGCGCATTTCGCGGGAGTGTCTCTGGTTTTCAAACATAAGCTGGTTTCATGATATTCACCGCACTTCACGCATCGTGGTCGATGGTTGCAATAAGTTTTAGTGTGCCCGTATTGCTGGCACCGAACACACTGAGGAATATTTCTCTTTTGACGCGGTTCCTCAATTTTAATATGTGAATAATATAGAAATTCAACATTAAAAATTTCTTCCCTAAATGTCTCTTTTGTAATGTCCACAAAGAACATAGGAAGGGTTTTTTTAAATCGAGATATGACGTTAACTACATTGGTGGCTTCGTAACCCAATTTTTTAAATTCTTCTTTAATGATATCGACTGGTGTTCCATGGTGAAGATGTTTAACAACAATCCTTGGACATTTGTCCTGTGGAAGTTGGTAAGTATGGAAGTCGGCACCTTTATTTCGCAGGCTAGAATTTAATTTTCGATAAACGTCAGGATTTCCTGGGTACACAGTGACACCTTTCAATGTAGACTTCGTTTTAAACATATTAGGACCCGTTTCGTTTTCTAGAAATGAGATTAATGCATGGTAATTCTCAACACCGTTTATAAAAATTGGTGGAGTTTTATCGTTTTGAGGCGTTCTTCTAACTTTTTCTGTTTGTAAGTTAGTTATGTTGGTTAGAACCTGAAAACTGTTCGAGGTTGGGATAGATTCTGTCGGTCGTTTTTGAGCTCTTGGCTCGCTCGAATCTATCATAGGTCTTTTACGACCAATAACCAGTTCCCAGGAGCCGTCTTCATTGTTTATATCACTGTTTTTAAAGTTCATGTTACTTACCTCAGTTTGAGATGATTCCACCATTGTTGGCGGTGAAATCCGCTCAATTTTTGTTTGGTGTTTTGTCCTTAGCAATCTTGTCTTGGTAAAACACTTTTATTACACAAAAATTAAGTATTTACACTTAATTAACACATTTTTTGGAAGACAAAACTAAATTAACCTTATTTAACATCAACAGCTGTTTTTCGTATTAATTTAAATTGCTAGTGGTATCTTATTATTTAAAATATTTGCAATGCCGTTCCTAATTAATGTTACAATTATTGATGTATGTCTCATTAGTCAATTTATTCTTCTTTATTATTTCTCAAATTTTTTATTTTGGTTATGGGTTTCAAAGTGGTCCAGGTTAGAATTAAAACCACGCCGCAAACTGGGTCCAAATGACCAACAAGCGGAAAAAATCTTTTTAATGACTAACCCCATCGATTTGTCGTTGATCTCATTAGATTCAGGATGAAAATATAAATTGGGAAAAATATAGAGGTGCAGGTTAGCTCAGTACTAACAATTTGCAATTTGGACCCGAAGATTGCTGGTCTAGGTACATTGATTTCTTTTTGAGTACATTGATTGTGGTTTTTTGAGTTCCCCAAGCTCCCTCCCCAACACCACATATGGTAGTTGGACGTTAAGCCCACCTAAAAATAGCCTATTATTATTATTATTTACTTAAATTTTTTTTGATACTTTTGGAAACCGCCCTATAAACAAGAATTGAATTTCCGACCTGCAGTTGATGTCATCCGATTCTTAATGAAAAAGTGAATAGCACAACCACTCTAAAAACAAGAATTGAGTTATTTTATTATAATTTTAAAAGTGCTTAGATACCACCGAATATTAGTGCTTAGGTTTCATTCAGTTCAGATTATAAAAACAATGATATTTAGTAAAAAAAAATGTGTTTTTCGGACTCGGGTTTGGAACGTATATATCCGTCGAAAACTGCATATCGGAAATTTTTACCCGATCGCAATACTTTCCTTACCTAGTATAGGTAGGAAAGTAACAAGTAATTTATTTCAAAAATTAAAATGTCATAACGTAGTCACATAAATGACAACTGAATAAATGAAGCTACCCGATAATAAAAGGCAAATGAAATTATAGGAATATATTCTCTGGTGCACCCTGAATCTAGAACAATTGCTGTCATATTAAGCTCGGACAAACCTTTTTCTATAATCTTGCGTTTTAACTTTTAGGCGAAAATTCCTCTAATAAATGCCGGTAACTACCAATGTAAAAAAAAAGTTTTAGGAAACGATGGGATAGAGTTATTCACGAAATATTTGGCGAATGTTAATGATTTGATAAAAAATGGCCTATACCACCGACTAATTGATTTATTTCACGTTCTTTTAAATTTTATGTGCCACTGGTAAATTTAAGGATTTGTTGAAAATAAAAAATCACTCTACAATATTTTTAGATGATTGGATATCATGACGAGAAAGGTCACCATTGTATTAGATAATTCTTTAATTCCATTCTTATTCTAATTCTCCACAGTATCCAACCAATGTTAAAAATAATTTTATCCTAGAATTGCTGTAAGAGCTTCATTTGCAATGAAATTCTATTTGAAATATTTTATATTACAATATAAAATATTTCAAACTCTGTAAATGATACATTACTGAAGGGAGCAGGATGAGGACTCTTTAGAAAGCTTTATTACCGTTTATTTTCTTTTTTTTTATGTGTTGGTCAGATCAGGCTAACAAACCTGTTGTTTGCCATTTCCAGAAAACTTATAACACCACCTTCAAACTCGCTACAAACTCATTTCCATTTTCCAAGTGCTAGAGCCTTCAAATTACTCACGTTACGTCTTCTTAACAGAAATTGTAATATTAAACAGGCCCTATAAGAACTTAAGTAAAGTGTTTTGTACTGGATGTTTCCCTTTACTGGATGACAAAGTTTTTGCGGAGAAGAAAAACTTTTATTACCTCAAGCGTTGTATTGCGCATTTACTAAAAGTTTAACGAAAAATGGAAAATTGTAGTGTTTAAAACGTGGAAAAGTATAATTCCTTTATGAGAAAATTATATTGTAAAAGATTCCAAAAAAAAAAAACTGTCAATGTCTATGATTTCTAATTAATACGTGATGGGACTCACTATTTTTTATGTTTACAAAAAATTAAATTTAAAGCACACATTTAATAACACCTTTTTCCATGATTAAGGTCGTTCAGAACATATAAGTTGACTAAAAAAAGAATTTATTACTACAAATAAAATTTTTTACAAATAATGATTCGCGAAATTTCGGTTTTGTTTTTTTTGGGGGGGGGTCCTCCCCTTCCTCGCCGTTAAGGCTATACTGGGTTTTCCCGGGCCCGGGAATGTGGGCGGGGATTTAAAAGACTCCCTCGGCATTATATCGGCGGACTCCATTTGATTGATATATTAGGTTGCCGGGCAACGGCGGTGCTGTGCACACGCGTTAGCCCAATGAAATTTCGGTATACAAATTAGCTGTGAAATCCTTTAGTTTAAGTAGTTTTAATTGCTAGTGGTATCTAGCTACTTAAAATGTTTGCAATGACTTTCCTTACTAATGTTAACATTATTAATGTATGTCTCATTAGTCAATATATTTTTATGTATGGTCAATAATTTCTCTCTTGTTAAATTAGAATATATTGTTGATGCAAATAAAAAAAAATTGTGTACGTGAGATGTCTGGGGAGTGTATGGTCGATGGAAGGTGGAGCGGAGGACGGACTGATGTGCTAACTTGTTCCGAGCAACTTTCCGGCCTAATCAGGGGTTTGCTCGTCCCGATGCGTACTCTATTCATACACAGCCCTAAATATTTCACGTCATTAACTGCAGGATTTGTGAAAAGACAAGAAGTTTGGGCTGTTCTCGGCCATGATATCAAACAGAAGTTTGAACGAGTAGAAAACTTAGAAGAACTTGAGTTCAGCATAAAATTCTGAACTATTATTATCTATTATATTTCATTTTTCGAACTAATCGCATTACATTATCAATAGCATGCAAAGTTGCAGAAACGAAAATTGGACTTTCAAACCTCTATGACAAGATGTAGGTGGGAGGATTTTGCTATGAATTGAATTGAAGTTTGGTTTTAGACAGGACTTATTACAATTAAGTATCATCGGAGCGGATGGAATCATTCACCTATTTGGGATGCGTGATCAGCAAAGAAAGGGGTTCTTTGGAAGATACTAAAAGCCGAATCAAGAAAGCAAATGTGGGCGTTTGTTCAACTTTACTTAATATGAAAGAATAAGAAATTGTCAAATAAAAGAAATAATATGACTGTTCAACAGCAGTGAAAATTTTACCCGACCCTATCAGGCCTTCATCAACCGCTGCTTGCGAGGAATCCTGAGGATATGGTGGTATGAGAGGATCTTTAACGAACTGCTCTAGAGTATCACAGATCAGCTTCCTATCCACCTCAAATTAAGGAAAAAGAAGCACTTTAAGAAAAGTAGATAGTACCATCGAAAAAGAAGCTTTGCAATGAAATCGTTTTTAAAATATTATATATTACAATATATTTATTTGAAATGTTATATATTTCACTTCCTTCCTTGAAATATTAAATTGACCAATTTTTCCATTCTCCAGATTGAAAAAGCTCTATTTCCAAGAATTTTCGTAAATTCAAAGTAGTAAGTTACGATAAAATGAAGCAATTCACGAAGTTTTAGACGAGTGTAACTAATTTGATAAAAAAGAGGCAAGTAGAGCAAACTATTAATACATATAACTCATCACTTCAATTCCATTGTATTCACATTCTTCCTCGATGTGACGATTGAATTACAGGCGGCACAGTTTGCTGATCTGGGCTATAAGTGGAAGAAAATAACGTGTTTATAAGTTGGTCAATACTTATGAATGGTCAATAAAGTAGAATCCTTAATTATTGTAACCAAAAATCTGAATATGAGGTAAAACTGCTTGTAAGATTGAAACATATTATATTATAAAGTGATAAGTAAACCAGGAAGATTTTGAACAAAATTTAATTACAAAACAAATCGTCTTTACATTAAACTAGTATTATTTTAA